CCTCAAGGTATACTCCACGCCTTCACAATCAAGATAATTGTCATTATTTATTTCTGAAGAATGAGATATATTTATTAATTCGAATAATTTTAAGCATTACAAGTTAAGCAATATTTATAGTTAATCGTCACAAACAGAATTTAAAACTACTCTCACAGCATTAAATTCTGTGTCAATGAAAATAAGATCATCTTCATCATCTTGGTTTAAATCGACGCTTTTCAATAATTTTGGACATGTTCTATTGTTACTATCGACATTGATCTCAAAAGACAGGTAGTTTCGATCATGAATACCATATTCGGTTGACAAAAAGACAGTTATTGCTCTATCACAATGTAAAATAGCTATATCATCCATTCCATCATCATTGAAATTTAATCGAGTGAAAGATGTTGGATACCATCTTGTTAAATAAGACGGTTGAAAGAAATAATGAGACTCAGCTAACGATTCCATTCCTTCCACATAATAAAGAATCTCTAATTTATTCGAGTATGTAGAAATGACAGCTAAATCATCCATTGGATCGTAGTTGAATTTACCTTTTATCATTTCTGTAACAAATTGCATGGTATAATGTTCTTCCTTATATTTATACATTGCTTTCCATATACCATCAAAATCCGGTTCAGAGAGAATAATTATTTCTCTATTTGACATCTGTAAAACCATATCGTCTGTTAATGAAGTGCGATCAAAGTGAGTCAATAATACTCCTAAGATATCACTTCTGTTCTTGAGTTTATCGGTGACAACAGTACCGAATTCTACAAAATCACGTCCATTACCAAAATTTAACAAAAGATTGAATTGTTTTGAAAAAGATTTCGTATTGAAATAATGACTAATTAATAAATCATTAAATCCATCAAGATTCCAATCATATATTTCAATTGCACTGACATTTTTGTGAGGATAGCGATTTGTTAAATTATATGCTGGTAAGTCGAATAGATCGTTCGTTGTGTTACCGAAAAAAATCACTATTTCATCAGTTCCATTTAAAGCCACAACTGAAAAAAAGAAAGAAAAATTATTCTAAAATACCAACATTGTATTTTTGATAGTTTAGTCTATAAGCAAGGATGTGATAACTCTTCCTTTTTCACATTCTCAAAATTCAATATGAATTTCAACTTGCCCAAATCTAATAATCCATCATCATTCAAATCACCAACTGCGAGTTTTTGTGGATTAGATCTATTTCCTGTTGAATAAGTTCGTTGCTTTTGAAATGATGCATTTTCATTTCCTAATAAAATACTAATTGAATTAGAATCAGCATTAGCTACCGCTAAATCCACATATAAATCTTGATTAAAATCACCCATAACTAATGCAACAGGATTGTGTTCAGTTAGATAAATTTCATCTTGATATTTGAATGTTTTATAACAAATTTCTAACAGAAAAGTATCATCAACAGATTTCTTACATAATCTTTAAACATACTTGAAGTTGTCGATTGTGTTATTCTTTTTGTTGTAGTAGTAGTATTGACAATTGTATGCGGAGTTGTCACTAGCGATTGTTCTTCTTGTTTTCTAGTTTGAGTAAGAAAGAGACTTATTATACTTGCAATGATAACAATTATACATAATAAAGTTAAGCAGATGAGTAATATTTTATCTCGACGTATTTCTTTTCTGAAATAATTATAGAAACAACAATATAGTAGTAGAAGAAATTTTATTGATTATAGATTTACTTACGAACTTCGTTGATCTTCAATAGAATTTTCATTTGACTGAAAATAAAAATAGATAATTATTATAAAATTAATTAAGAATTATTTACTTGATCTATTGTTATTGAAGATTCTGGAATAACTTCAATCATATCAGATTGAACTGAATTTGGTACAATTTCAATTTTTTTCTTTCGATAATCGATAATTTTATAAACTATGATTGATAAACAATTTATAATAAGATGCATTCCATTCGTTAATCCACCAAATAATGCAATTAAAAATATTATAATATAGAGAAAATTATATCGTACATAATCTGAATATCGACATATTTCAGGTTGACATTCGTCGAAATATATTTCAAACGATTTGTGTTCGATCCATTCGATAACAAATAATTTAGAAAAAAGTTGTTCAATTGTTTTATTTGGGATTGATGATGAAGAATAAGTAAGCTGTGGTGAAATTCCAGTTTTGAGAACTATTTCCAAGAAAGTAGCACATGCTGAATCGTAAAAACAATTTAAATTTGATTGAAGAATAGCATTAAAATTTTCACATCCAACATGAAATCCAAGATTAAGCTTTGATAGTTGTAGAAATTTTTTCTCATATAGAAAACTTTCTGGGCGTAAACAATTCGATTGAATTCCACATGAACAATTTGATGAATTATATTGTATTGGTAAGGCTAATAAAGGTATTACATGAGTAGTACGTACAATTTCATAGGAAAGATTATATTTTAAAATAAATTTCCAATTAATTTCATTTATTGTAGCCAATTGATTTCCATGATTTACTATTTGAATTAATTGAAATATTTCTGTAAATTGACTTGATATTGTTCTTTCAAATTCTCCAAGAATTGTTTCAATTCGAATGTTAAATTCATCATAAGATATAACGTCTGATGTGACAAAATCAGTTTGTTCAAAATTTAATAATGAGATATTTAGCATATTCTTTGAAAGTTCACATAATACTGATATTATTCCAAAATTTTTCGCTACAAATCTATATAGATCCCTTATCACATTTGTCATAAATCCAGAATTAAAATATAATTCTTCGATCAATTTTGATGATGTATAAATACTTGAACAAACTTCATGATAATGAGGCTCGAATTGTGTAATAAACATTTTATGTTTAATCGCAATATGTGTACAAGGACATTGAAGTGTATTAGAATATTGATTGAATAATTGTTTATATTGTAATACTGTTGGATTGTTAACATTAATTGTGACTGTTTCCTTTTCCAATGTTATATAGAATATTAGTATGAGAAATGTTGTTAATAATAAAATAAAATAGATTCGAGTTGTTCGTCGATTTCGTCGAATGATTTTTGGATCATTCGATGGTGGAATTGGAGAAAAAAGATTAATTTCAATAAGAGTTGTTGTTATGAATTTAAAAAAAATACGAAGATGACTTACAAATGTCAATTGTTCTTGTGTATTTCTTTTACATTGATCGATATAATGATAAAGTTTATAAATTAATTTTATAATTAATGGTGATAAAAGACGAAAAACAATATTTAAACCACCAACAAGTCCAAGAAATGTTGTAAAAATATAAATAAAATTTAAACGAGTTTCATATTTATATTCACATTTTAATGGATGACATTGATGAAAATATGATTCAAATGATGATTCATTTGACCATGATTGAATAAATAATTGATTTGCTAAATATTCAATTGTATTATTTTCATTAGTAGAAGAATTGAGTATTGAAAAATGATCTGTTGAATTAATTTGTGATGAAATTTGAGAAAAACATGTTTCATTATAAAAACATTCTAAAGTTGAATTCAGAATTGATTCATAAGGAAACCAACCGATAAACATTCCAGGAATAATTATTTCATTAGTTTCATTTAATCTTAGTACAGTATTTATGGAACAGCTAGCATTAAGATATGTAGGTTCGCAATAACACCTGTGTTCATTTGTATGATTCCAACGAGAACATTCATGCGTTGACCACCATCGGCTTTGAATAAGAATACCAATACTATTAATTCGCCCATGCGTTTCATCGTATATAAAATCTGAATTCAACTCTGTATTAAATTGATTGATTTGAAAGTTTAGCCTTATTAATTGTAATGAACGTTGAAATGATTCAGATGTTAATCGTTTAAATTGATCGAAAATTGATTGAAATTGAAGTTGAAATGATTGAGAATGAACAAGTTCATGACTAAGAAATTGTGTTCGATAAAATGATTGAAGTCTTTCTTCAATTGTTTGTTTTGACATTTGACATAATGTTGATAAAAGTTGAAAATAAAATTTTGATTGATATCGAATATCATCGAGAAATATTTTTTCTTCGTTATATTCAACATTGATCCAATCAGAAGAAACAAATTTACTTGTACAAATTTCATAATATGTAAGCTTGATTTCAATAAGATATTTATATTCAGTTGTTATTTGAGAACAAGGACAACGAAGTGTTCGAGAATAGTCTTTCTCAAGATGACGAAAATCATCTGAGGTTGGTGATTTCTTAATAACTTGAATTATTTGTGGTTTGATTGAATTAAACAGGAATAAAATAATTAATAATAAAAAGAACATGATTAAATATAATCGTGTTGTATAACGTTGTTGAAGAAGAATCGTTTCATTTGTCGACGGAGGAGCACTTTCAAATAAATTTAATTTTATTAATTTTTCTTCTAAGAATTGAAAAAATTGTTTTCTACGATCATTCATCGAATATTCTAAAAGAGAGATTATATTAGAAATTAATTTACATATTTAGTAGTGAATTTACTTGTTTTCTTAGTTTCAGTTTGGGACAATTGTATACGATGATTTCGTCGCCTAGTCAAGAGCTTTCGTAAAAATGGCCAAACTTTTGTAATGATTAAAGGTATAAGGATGCGTAGTGTTGATGAGATTCCACCAAATAATCCAATTAATATTGTAATAATAAGTAAATATTCATAAGATTTAGTAATTGTATATTGACAGAAATTTGGTTTACATTCATTAAAAAATTGTTCAAAGGATGTTTGATTTAACCAATGAGTTATAAACATTTGTTTCATTAGCGTTCCAACAGTATCATTCGAAGATGAAGAATTGAGTTTGTGAAAATCATTTGATGAATTTGTAAGAATGTTAATAAATGTTTGATTATGAAATACTTCGAGTGTTGAGTTGAGAAGTGCACTTACCATATAACAACCTGTTTTAAAACCAATAACAATATCATTATTCAATGTTGATAAACCCATACAAGTATTGGCTGTTGAACTGGAACATGTACAAGAAGAATTATCTGCATACGTATAATTTATTCCCGGATACGGTAATTTTTTAATTTTTGAACCGCGCTCACGATAAAAAAGCGGTAGTACACTTGTTATTGAAGCACCAGTTAGAAATAAATTCTGTGCTGTGATATTTTGAATAAATGATAAAATTCGAAAATATGTCTTCGGTGTCATATCAACAAAATCTGCTATGAATGATCCCATTTGAATAAGTAGTTGATCTTCAGAAATCAAATGTATTTGAACAAATTCTGTTTGTAAGAATGTTTGAAGATTATCCTTAATGAGTTTTTGTGATAATTCACAAAAATCACGTAACGTTCGAAATTGAAAAACGGCTATACGACGCATATCTGTTTGTACTGAATTGTTCCAGCTTTCTTCATAAAGATTGTATAACTTTTTAATGAACGCGTCAGAAATTAAATTACTTTGGCATAATTCATGAAAAAAAGGTTCAATTTTAACAAATTTTTCATACTTGATTGAAACTGTTTTACAAGGACATTGCAATGAGAATTGTTTTGATAAAGTTGAATAATCAGTAGATGATGGAGACTTGATTACGACTGTATCTGTATATGGGATGATAATGTGATATAAAACAATCACACATATTGATAAGATGAAAAGAATGATATAGAAGCGAGTCGATCGGCGTTCATTTTTTATAATCGATTCATCTTCTATACCACTTTGAAATAAATTCAATTGAATACAATAAGTTTTCAATAATTTAAAAAGTAATCGAAAATTAATGTTGATTGGCATTTTTTCAACAACGCTTATTATCTGAAAATATTTCAATTCAAGCACTAGATTGCCAAGAAAGTTATTTTGCGTTTTTTTCTCAAATATCCTAGAGCAGACGAGGAAGTTCTAGAAGTTTCCATATTAAGGGTATATAAAGGGGATATAAATATCTTTCGAACGAAAACAAAATGATGGATAGGGATATTAATCTTGAATTAGGAATGAAGATATCGTGTTGGGAGCTCCGAGTACTTTTGCTTCATGAACTTTGTTTGAGTTGTAAAGCAACAAGCAACAGATGAATATGAACCATCTGAAACAGTTTATCGATAAAGATCCTAGAATGAGTACACAATGCTTAGGAGAGCGACTTGGGTGCTCTCATACTACCATCTTGAGGGTGTGGGTGAATACAAGACTATGTCTTGGGAGCTGCGAGTCGACCCAGACTCAACCGGGTTTGGGTACGGGTCCGGATCGGGTTCGGGTCTCACTTGAATTTTAACAGACCCGGTCTCTATTTACCTTCAAATTTAGATCAAATATATTTAAAAACAACGTATAATATAGTATTTATTGTCTCTTTTTCAAGATTGATTAATTCTTCCTAATCCCATAACGAAAATAAAAACTATTTCAAATACAAAACATAACATAAAGTTCGAAGACAAAACTATAACGAAATGATAGTTAATACGTCAATAATATCTTATCATGAACTTTCAATGTTATTTCCTAACAAAGACATTGATATTTGCATTTATTTTGTATAAATTAAATTTTTTTTCTGCTCGTAATCAACTGAAAGTAGCCACAACTTCGATCCTTATCGTTTTCTTGCACACAGGAAGTGCTTTATATTGGTAAAAAAGATCAGGGTCTAGACCTGGTCGGGTTCAGCTCTGAGCCTAACCGGATCCGGATCTGAACCTAGCTGGGTTCAGGCCTAAACCTAACCAGGTCGAGTCTGAGCCTGACCGGGTCCAGGTCGGGTTCGGGTCTGAGTTGAGTACAGGTCCAAGGAATTCTTTTTTTCTCGGGTCTAGAGCGGGTTCGGATCCAAAAAAACGTGGACTCGCGGCTCTCTAAGTATGTCACACCCACACCCTCAGGTGTAGCAACGTCCAGAAGTGATCACCACCCAATGTAGATTATGCTGGGTGTTTGACGGGATATCAAAGGGATTATTCCCTAGAAAATTCTTCCTGCTGGCTGCTTCATCACTGCTGAACTCTACTGACAGCAATTAGACTTGAGGGTGTGGATGTTGGTATGGGAAAGAAAAGAACACAGCGCCAACACCAATTTTCACCCACCCTTAAGATTATTCGAGAAGGGATGGAGAGAATTCTTACGGAAACCTATTCGGCTGTGCTAAAAGGAATGGGTGTGAGAGATGAATAAGATATGCCGACTACCGCCACAGTAACACACACATGGACCCTGACTTTTATCTGATTCCTGGACTGTGAACAATATAGAAAATACGAGATCCATTCGACACCGGTCGAGGTCTCATTGATTTCACAATGCAGTTCCGGAACTCCTCATACGGGATCAAAAGATATACAATGCAAGGCAAGACGTGAGGGTTAATGGAAGGGGTATGATGACGCAAAGGGACTCTGAAATTGCGAGGAATTAATTGAAGGTCAATCTTTTTCGACCAAGTTCGAGATGTTATTGGAGGAACTGATACTAGGAATTTCTTGTAGTGCAATAGTTGAGGGGGTGGGGAGGGGAACTAGTTCGGCAATGTGTAACATTGCGGAATAAGAAATATTTTCATCTCTGTTGGGTAATGATGGTGAATATATTATTCTCAATCCTGAAAGGATGAGTTGACAACACGGAAACTCGTCTATTCGTCTGGTGTCTGCTTGGTCAATTTTTTTAATCAATCAGATGTCACTTTCATAACATTAAGCAATCCCCATAACTTGAGGATGGGTGAAATCAGTGAAAGTGGGTGAAGTAAGGTTATGGTGGGTGAAATAGGGTAGAGGTAGGTGGAAATGGATGAAATAAGGTAGAACTTTGTAAAATAGGGTAGAAGTGGATGGACTGGGTGGGAATGAGTGGACTAGGTGAAATAGGGTCAGAGTGAGTGGGAATGTGTAAAATAGGGTAGAGGTGGGTGGAATTAGGTAAAATGGGGTAGAAGTGGGTGAAATATGACAGACGCGGGGGAAAATAGGGGAAGTAAGGTAGAAGTGGGTGGAATAGGGTAGGTGTGGGTGGAAATGGGTGAAATAGATTAGAAGTGGATGGAGTGGGTGAGATAGGCTAAAAGTGGGTGGAAATGGATGATGTAAGGTAGAAGTGGGTGGAATACGGTAGGACAGGGAAGAAGTGGGTGCAATAGGTTAGAAGTGGGTAGAATGAGGTAGACGTGGGTGGGACTGGGTGAAATAAGTTAGAAGTAGGTGGGGTGAGTGAAATAGAGTAGATGTGAGCGGAAATCGGTAAAGTAAGTTAAGAGTGGGTTTAATAAGTGGAATAGGGTTAGGGTGAGTGGAAGTGGACGGAAATCTATGAGAGTCGGCAGAATAGGGCTCGAGTGGATCAAAGAAAGTGAAAATGATTGGGAGTCCGTGGCATTGAGTGAGAGTGGGGGGGGGGGGGGGTTAGTTTTTAAGCGCATCGTTGATAGTTGGATATCTTTTCTGAAAAACATTCCTGTTGATAAAAACTGTCGTGGATTTTGCACGGATCTCTGCTAGTAAGTTCATATAATGGTATGGCCATCGTTTGGTAGAATTACTCGTATCTATAAAAACGCTGATATTGGATCAAATTATGAGTGAAGTTAGAGACTTCGATGTTAAGTGAAATCGTGGGTGGGGTTAGGGACCTCGATGTAGGATGAAATTGTGGGCGATGTTAGGGTCTTTGATGCTGGGTGAAGTCGTGGGTTGCATTAGAAACCGAGATGTGGTGTAATCATCAATGGGGTTATAGCCATGGGAAGAGGATCAGTCAACTTGGGAAAAGCTTCGTGACACGGATGTCTCATTGATGTTTGTGGAAGAAACTTTGTGTGACAGATCAGGTGAATTTTCTTGTGTCGTGAACGTCTTTTTCTTCACTGAAAACAAAGCATACGAATACGATCTGCGTAGTCTCCCTATAATAACTTTCTTCAGTTGCTTAATCTCACTATATCATATGCTTAGTGGTCTAATCTAACGTTATCGTTTTCGCAGTAGATATATTGTTCCTTCCAGGATTGAGTCGAGCAAGGTGCAAGAGATCGACGTGTTACTTGTGTATTAATCTTGTAATAGCTCAAGCATCCTCGAAATGCAAGCATATACAACATGTCTCACTGTTCCCTACCTGATATTGAAGAGATTGGTAAAAGAAACTGAAGTGAATGATTAATGCATGTCTTTTTATATTACTCCTTATTCTTCTCTCATTTTCTATAATAAAACTTTATTAGAGAGAGAATTAGAGATTTAATAAAGAGAGGAAAACTCGATTTAATAAAGAAATAACAAAAATGAATAAGAAATGATAAATTGCTTTTTTTTTCCTAGACGAATAGAAGAACGTGATCAAATATTCAAATAAATGACTGATGTTCAGTAAATTTTACAGTTCAACAGGAACACAACAAATATTAAAAGCGCCTCATGATATAATTTATTATTGAGACAGATAATTCATCATCTTGAAAGATTTTTTGAGTCCAGTATGAAAAACAAAGTAACGAACGTTTTTCGAAGCTATAAAATAAGATTCGATAAGAGAGTAGGAGGAAACGTGAATGAATATAGTCTTGATAGAAAATTGTACATTTTTTGATGTATTCTCGTTGGTTCCGTATTGATTTTTGACAAAAATCAAAATAATTTTTTGAATTGAAAATATTCGATCTGAATCCATAACTTTCATGATCATCACATTTTCAAAAAATTATAAACTTTCGAATAGTATGATCCAATAAGTATATTCCTAAGTATTTCTTCATAATTCTTGTTCTATAAACTTAAAATTTTAATTTAAATGAATGAATAAAAATTATCTCGATCAATATTGAATTTAGATTTGAGAGAGAGAGAGAGACAGAAATAAAATTGCACATATTTGTTTTTATAAAGTAAGTAAATCATACAAAAGATAACTGTATGTGAAACTCTATTTGAAATAGCTGTGTTATTCTCTTCAAGAAATCAAATTCATCTTCACTATTTAGTTCATAATATCTAAAGCAGAAAAACAAACTTGTCCACGATCTTGAGATTGTTTTCACTTATAAGAATAAATATGTATATTTGATAAAAAAATATTCTGTTTTATTAAAAAATGTTCTATTGACTAAAATATGTCTTCATATTCTTGTATTTGCTTCTTTTGATAAATGAATGAGTCTTATTAAAATCCTAATAAATTTTATTTGAAATTTATTGATGAAAGATAAAATTCAAAGCAAGATTGAAATAATAAATTATTTTTTCAGCCGAATTGAGTTTTCATTTTTGAAAAAGTTAAAATTGATAAGTAATAGTTCTTTTATGAAATTGTACATTTGTCAGGATTTGCAAGTCTTGCTGTATTTGGTGGTTTTTCTCTTGTTCCTGTTCTTGTTGTTTTTAGTGTTGTTGTTTTTCTTCTTGTTGTTCTTGTTACTTTCATTTTTGTTGTTGATGGTGTAATTAACATTGGTGTTGTTGTCGTTAATGGTGATAATATTGTTGTTGATGAATCAACTTTCTTCTTTCTAGTCAAACTTAAAGGAATCGCAATACCTAACATTAACATGATACTTGTAATTAAAATAATTAAAATTCGAATTATTTTTCTTTTTTTATTTTGTCCAGATCTAAAAAAATATTTGTTTCGTTTGTTATTTCCTTATCTGCTAACAATGTCATAATTACTTTTTAGGAAAATACTTACGATGTTTCTGGTTTGGTTGTTAACATTTCTTCTTGTTGCGAATGATTCGGAATAGTCTAAAATAATAACAAAAAATGATTTGAATTTAGTTGTCTCTTTCTTCAATATCTTACCTCAGAAACATAGATTTTGCTCTTGCTAAAACTCATAACTTAAATATGACTGTATTTTGTTTTAAAAAATTTAAAATCTAAAAAAAATGAATACGATATCAAGAGAAAATTCTTACTTATGAAAACCTATCTATCATCAGAAGAATTTGTTTTTCAGACGTGTTTCGAAGTTTATTGAGTTTTTTTGTAATAAAATATTCTGTCAAGGAGAATCAAATAATTCTTTTTCTTCTTATATTATCATAGACAAAAGTCATGCGTATATAAAATAAAGTTTTTGTTAATAAATCAAACTTTTCATACAGGATCTCTGAATGTTGTTTTTAATCGAAGAATAACAAACGATGGATTATTTCTCTACCTTATCAAGATATTTTTTCCAAATAAATATATATTGTTGATTTGCAAAAATTTCTCGAGTGTATATTTAATAAATATGACTAATACAGATATTCTTCTGTAAAATATATTTCAAAGAAAAAATTATATTTCATTTATTTTTTCATCAACAATATTTTTCTTGATATACAGATCAAAAATCATTAGAAATAAGAATTATCAGTTATTAAAGAGCGGGTGTGAGTATGACTGTGGGTAGATGGACGTGAGTTTGGGTTAGGATATTGATGTTTTTTTCCCACACCCACACCCTCGTTAATTGAAAAATTAAGTTAGGAACATAAATACTTTGACATGTGAAGAAAATTTCTTTAAGCGTAATAAAAAAAACTGTCTTTAACGAACAAATTCTATTTAAATGATATTTATCTTATTTATCAATTATTTTCTAATAAATTCAAATATTAAATAGAAAAAAGTGCATTTATATAGTGTGTGGATGTGTGGATGAAGAACAGATCAACATCCAAATCTATCTACAATAGTATCATCGATAAATCATTTATACCTCGATGAATAAAATCCTTATAGATAGATATAGTTTGAATCAATTGTAAGTAATTTTCTGAGTGTAAGTGCTTTCTTAGATCTTTTTTACTAGTGTCTTCAAGTGCATGAGTATGAGCTACACTTGATATAATGAATTATAATAAGACTGATGTTTTATTTTTGTCAGAAAAAAGAATTGTCTTTGTGGGATTATTAGAAAAAATATTTTATTTTTATTGATATTTGAATAAAGAATAAACAAGAGAAAGTGGTAAGGGTTCTTTCTTATTGATAAATAAATATATAAAATAAAAAAGGAAACAATTCAAGTTTTCTTCTCTTTCTTGATTAAATTGAACAACTTTTATTACATTCGTTATCATCATGATCATATTAAATAGTCTTATATTCATATGTTATTTTCCATGAAGGTTGTTGTTGATTTTGATATGCATAATGATAACCCGCCCATTGTGGATATGATGGTACTGTCCAAGTTGGAGTTGAAGTAACATTGCCTGCTTGTTGAACTAACTGAAATGTATGATTTGGATGTGTTATATGTGCACGTGCTATACATTGATCACATAAATTTACTCCTCTACAGTGCTGACACTGATATCGAGTAATACCATTAACTCGGCGACAGTTATCACAATACCATGGAGCTGCATACATGATTTCAATGATTCGAAAAATTCAATGAAAATAATATAAATGAATAAATTAGCTTCTTTAAACAGAACATATATAGTCTAGTATTTATATGCTGATATAAGCAAAATGTATATGTGTCATTTTAGCGACTGAGGAAGTAACCCATTCTTGAGTCAAGTCAATCAGCCATGACTTAATATAGAACATAAATGTTATATGTATATCAATCAATACAGAAAAAAGTTTCGTCATAATTATATTGAATGATGAAATACCAGGTTATTTCCAACAAAAGATCGGTATGTATTGATTTCTTTGAAAAATGTTTAATAAATATACAGATAATATTTCCTTTCATTTATCAGCAGTTGAATGCAAATTTGATTTCAAAATTTTCTTTTAGTACTTAACAAACAGATCACTTAGGAAAAATAAGAAAAATTCTATCCTTACAGTATGATTTCATTCGCTATTCAAAAATATTTCTAACATAACTATAATATTTTAAAATAATTTCAACATATGAATACAATTCTATGAAATATATTTTATTATTAATAAATATTTGATGAATATCAATAAATCTCAAATTTTTATTCTTGATTGTAAAAACAAAGAAAAACAATGGTTTAGTGTTGATTTGATCACTCATATAGTTGAGTAATATGTTCTTTCAACGCGTACATTATGATACGGTATCACGAATGGTAAGAAAAAAGGAAGTAGACGAAAATTTTTTATGAGGACAGTTGATAAAATATGTAACACATGTCAAAGTGTATAAATCTCAATCGAAATTTTAATTGAACAAGAGCGATTTTATAATTAATGTATAGTATTTATCTTTTTCTCTATTTTAGATCGTTTGATTTAATTTATATAAAAGTATCAATGTTAAATGTATCTCTACTTGATTGTCCAATAGAAATTCTTCATCATATTTTTGATTATTTTGATACACAAACAATTTGTCGTTCATAACGATCCGTTTGTAATCGACTCTATGGAACTGTTAATACTTATAATCGTTTTCAACTCAATCTTACTTTAACTTCAGAATTATATTTGAATAAATTCGATTTTCTTTCAACAAACTTTGATATTCAATAATGTATTCGACTTAATTCATTAACACTATTAGATATTGATACGACTGAATTAGATCGATTTTTATCATATATTACAGTTTTACCTTTAATATCGCTCTCAATTCAATTTTATCATGCATCTCATCGTGTATCAATTCCTTCAACTATACCGATCTGATACATCTTCAACGGTCTTCTTCTTAATTTATTAACTTTTGTTATTATTTCTTTACTATCAACATTGACAAATATGAGAAAAATAACACTTCTGTGATTATTGTTCTTTTTTATTAGCCTTTATAAATAATAATGATACTCGAATTTTGGTAGAACATTAAATATATTGATATATTCTTTCTTTAAATGATAAAATGCAGTGAAAGAGAGTGTGTGCGTTCAGCATACCAATAAGTAGAACAATATTTCCACTTATTTTTTGATTTATCAATAGAAAATGTATACGTATCGCTAAGTATTATTCATGTATTGATCGAGTAGTACTGCTTGAAAAAGGTCGTTATAGTTATGTTGAGCTTTTAGCAAGTTGATATAAATATACCTGTACTACTCTATTATTTGTTTTGAGAATTTTCATGGGAAGCACTACATACTTATCAATTAAATATAATACATACACTTAAATCTTGAGGGTATGTATGTGTATCAATACTTTCTCTATACCCACACCCACACTCATTTCTTATTTTTTGTATCTTTTTATAAAAAAACCTTGTGCAAACATTTTTTTTACTGAATAATATATTTAATAGAAGAGGAAATATACTTTTGATCATCTAATTTTTCTAAATGTGATACTTCATAATTTTTTGTCGGATGCTTGTGCACGATGTATACAAATTCTCTCTCACACTTAACACGTTGTTTCCGCAAATCATACAATCAATGTACAATCAAAGTCGTTAGTGAATAGGATTCATATATCCGAAGAAAAATGAGAGACGCTTTCTCTATTTGACAGTGCATCATGAGAGAATAAATTACTATATTATTGAAGGATAGATGATATAATGTACAATCCAATGTAATCCTAAATGTGAAGGAAAAGCGTATTATAATAAAATATTATTTATCAAAGATTCTTGGACTTTAATATGACTGCTAATAATTTCTATTTGATTTGTTCAAAATAAAATGACGTTTTAGTCAATTTAGATTCTTTTTCAATTATTAATTGTCTTCCGCACAAAGAAACTCTAATTAGATCGGGCTTAATGCTCCAAGCAATCAGTGCGAGAGATTAAAAGTGATATTCCTTCTTTTTTCCTTTTTTTATTAAAAAACGACGTCTTAGTTTCTTTTGCGCTGTTATTATTTTTCTATTTCCGTTTTTGTCACACTAATAAACATGATACGATGATATTTTTTT